GCCCACTGGCTTCTAGAGTATTTTCTGTCCCAGGGACTCTGGGTGGAAGGTTTCTTGTATCCAGTCCCCTTGGCTCTGATATAGGAATGGCATTTTTTTTCCCCCAGAAACAGTATATTTTTAAACCTCTTAAACAGAGGCGACTGCTGGAGACAGTTTTTGAGAAACATGAGTGAAAAGCTTGTATTTGTGTGGAAGAAACCATTTTGTACTGCATTAGACTAAAAAACTGAGCAGTGATTTGGGGGACCTCATGACCTATTTTTATATCATATATCCTAGATAAGAACTTTAATCATTGCTTACTAGGTAAATAATGTTCGTGCTGTTCCAAAGCGGAGACTCCTTGATTGTTTTATCATGATGAAATACACAAACACTGACAAATCATAGTGTAGAGGCGCCACTAACTCAGTTGGGCAGCAGTGGCCCTTCTGACTGGGCTGCGCTCCTGCCCTAGCATGTAAGACCTAAGATCCATCTGTGATCTGGACACAGTGCAGGCAGGCAGGGAGGGATCTCCCATGGAGTCATCTTGCTTTTTAGTCCTAAGGCACCATTCTGTCCTGCAGCCGTTCCTTTGTGCCTCTTGGTACCTCCTGGACCATTGCCATAGGAGAGATAGTTCCTGTTTTCATGCAACAGACATGTTTCATATCCTTTCTTGCACTTTAAAATGAAGTTAGTCTAAATTGCATTTGATTGAAAACTAAGGGACATAACTCAGTCTTCTCATTTCATTCCAGTATTTCCTGTGGGCAATGCTAAGAATAAACCTGCGGCCTTGGACCTGCTAGGTAGGCAAGCACCACCGAGTTCTACCTGCAACCCCAGATAAATTTTTTTAGAATAAAGATTAGTACAGTTACACACTTCAGTTTCTTGTAAAATTAGTGTCATCTTGTTTTTTGTCAGGATCAGGGCCTGAAATTCTGTGGGGTGGAGTGGTGGAATTCAAAATTGTAAGTGGAAGAACTTTTTACTAAAATGATCATACCTTTATGTGATGCATATCTTACTGAAGGAAAGAGAAACTGCCTACAGATTTCTCCTCAGCGTGTACATGTTCACTGTCAAGAACACTGTCAGATACTTGCTTTTTTGTTTTAGGTAGCATTTTGTTTACATAAGGAACTGACCTATAGAGAAGCCCTGCAGTCTAAAATTGTTCCAATTAATTTATTTGTGTCTTTTTCTTGTTTTGACAATTAAGAATCCTTACTACTTTCTCAAATGTTGGTCTCTGTGTTTTGTCCTTTTTTTTTTGAGGTATTATTTCACCATGTGGTTTATTTAGGCTGTCCTTGAACTCACCATATAGCCCAGGCAAGCCTCCAGTTTAATGGCAATCCTCCTGCCTCAGCCTTCTAAGTGCTGGGGTTACAGGCATGCACCACCATACCTGGCTCTTTTGTCCTGGTTGAGTAGCCACTCTGCTTGTCTCCAGTGGTGGAACGAAGCATGGTAGAGGTGATATTTTGAAAAATTATTGGCTTTTTATTGTATCATGTTAACATCAAATGTTTTATAGCACATATAATCCTTCTAGATAATACCCACCTTTATTACAATATGTATCAATGGACTGGTCACAAAATCGTATTTCTAGGTAATATAAAAAGGTCTATTAGAGGATATCTGTGTTCTGTTAGGGAAAGCAATGTTTCTAGAAACAGGCTGGCAGGGCCTTGAATGACATAACAGTGACATAGTTTGTTCAGCAGAGAAGTCTCATGTCTCCAATGGAAATTTGAAAATATGTAGTGCATATACTGTCACCTATTTCAAAAATCGTGTAGACAAATAATTTATTAGAAATATATACACCTTGTATATTTAAGCCATAGTTAGAACAGACTAGGACAGGATTATTAAAAAGGTATATACTGAAGACTTAGTTATTATGACCTACAGATAAACAAGGTAAGTTTGGTCCTGTGAGGATTTCACTACTGTCCATATTCTGAGGGTTTCTAAGTAGGTGGAAACGGTTCATGGAGGTATTCTCAGTGCTCAGTGCTGGAGACACCCTTGTAGGCTGTTCTAGTGCTTTGAGGCTGGTTCTGCGTCAGGGTTCGAGTCTGCAGCGTAGAAGAGCAGGAGCTTCAGCAAGTGCACTTTATTTTGGAGTTGGGGGACCAGAGGCTCCCCGAGCATATGGATGAGGCGGTTGCGGAAGGCCTCCATGTGCTTCTCCACGTCCTTCACTGTGATGTCATCTCCTTGTTGAGGCTTGGGCTTAATCCTTTTGATGATTAAATCCTTTCGATCAATCACTGAACTGCGTAAGTGTTCTGCAAGAGGGAAGGAGTCAGGTAAACTGAAAGGCTTTATATTCTGTTATGACAACGCAAAGTCCAGCTTTAGTAGGTAAAGCCCTGCTGCCTTGCTACCAAGAGGCAAGTCACAGGCACATGAATTCTGTGTCAGCCCTGCTTCCAAAAGGCCTTGTCGGGGCTGGGGAAATGGTTCAGTGGAATAAGCGCTTCCTGGCAAGCACAAGGGCCTGAGTTCAATCCCCGGTTCCGAGAAAAAAAAAAAAAAGTAAATAAAAA